GAAAAGAGAGGAGGCTATGGAATAAGCAAATAACAGTGTCAATATCAAACGTCCACCAGAAACAGTACTGAAAACATAACCTGTTAAAGAGCCACTGCAGAACATTTTATCCAACAAATGTGTTTATTTTATTACAGGTTTATTTGTAATGATGAAAATTAACATACCTAATATTAAAGCTTGTGCCAATTTGTGAGTGGACCTGCATCTCAGCAAACGGAGCATAACCTGAAACGTTCCGCAGTGTGGCTTTTGATTCATGCATGAACATGTACACTGCAAAAAAGCTTGGACAAAATGTAAGATATAAACACTTAAATCTATCAGAAAATGAAATTATCTGTCCATGCAGCAAAATAATTTTACTTGACAAGTTATCTAAAAATAAACAACCTCTAGACTAGAATTAATCGGTCTCAAAACTAGTAAGTCGATAATAAATCTGAAAACAAGATAAATAACCCGATATAAATTTTAATCTGAAATTTGCAGTGTACAGATTCTTTTTCACGTTTTGTCGGTGCCTCAGTGGGTTAATGTAGAGAAGGTTTCAACAACGGACGTCTGGACAGTTTTTGTAATCAAAAAATTTCACCCAATTATTATTATTATTATTATTATTATTATTATTATTATTATTATTATTTATTATTTATTATTTATTATTTATTTATTTTTGCAGTTGTGCTAAAATGAATAAAGATTAAATATCAGGAACAGGGAGCTGCAGGTGGATCTAACTGGATGTTAAAAAGTACAAAAATAAAATAAATAAATATAGCGGACGATTCTTCTGCTTTTAGAAAAGTAGGGGTTTGTGTCTGCTAACGCTAATGCTAACGCTAGCGCTAATGCTAACGCTATTTTTAAATACAAATAAACGTCACAAACCGAAGTAACATACACTCTGTTTAAAAATAATTGGATAGTCTTTACTTTTTCATTCGAATGTTAATATGGTGTTTATTTAATGTTTCGCATTTTTGATAAAAGTTTAAGTGACACAGTAGGCTAGTTAGCGTGCTAATATGCTAAGAGCCGATTTAATGGTACTGGATTGAGACACTGGGAATTTATCTGACTGAATTAACTAAGTCCAGTCACAAAAAATAGGTGTTTTAGAGTGAAACTGCCTTTGTTTACTAGTTAATATTGTTATTAGTTGGTATGGCCCTGTTATGTGTTGTTAAGTTTACCCGGGACAGTTCCAGTTTTGAGCCTTGTGTCCCTTGTCCCAGCAGATTTATACAAAACCAGTGACTTGTCCCAGTTTTATACAAAAAATGTCCCTATTTTTGACCAATCTGATCCCTGCCAACAGTAAAGAGAGGCGTATATTAATATTTGTTTAAGTAAAATACAGAAAAGCTGCTTAAAAATGACCAAAACACAAAGAAAATGTGACTATACTGACTTGTATATTCATAATGAATGGGACTAGTGCATAACAATTTACATTTATGCGCTCATTTCACAATTTTATTATTACTGACATTTTATTATTATATTGGTTTTGGTAATTTTATTATTACCAACATCAAAATCAAAAATTCTCGGTTAATTAGGGATACGAACCGAAAAAGTGCATATGACAGGTTTTGATTAGTTTCTAACTTGGACTTAATTTGGTTGGATCATGCCCATTGTAAATATAAGTTATAGTTGTACATCAATTAAGAAGCAATGTGTGAAAAAAAAAAGATTAAAAAATTACAGGAAGTATGATGCATTCTATTGGTAGTGGATAAATCCGAGTCAGTTCTCCCGACATACATTAATAAATGCATTTCATTGCAATAGTTGAGGAAAATATGGATGCCGGAGAAAGTTTAATGTCCAATTGACTCGGTCTACACCAAACTAGCCCGAATTTGTGTTTCGGAACCCCGTTTTGATTGGTTCTTCCATTGCACTTTCTCGAGGTGAAGGTAAGTTTTCCCCAAGTTCCAAACACAAGAGAAAGCACCAGTAGAGTTTTATTTTGGAATGTCCCATATTGACATCACAATGAGAATTCTGTCCAAAAGTTTGACATAATTTATACAAAAGACACATTATATTGCTACTTAAACATTGGTTCAACCAAATTAAGGTGTTTTCATATATTTTTATTCGTCAAATAATAATTCCTGTGTAAATTAGAGAACTTTTGGACTAGTTTACAAGATGGTTGCTCGGTAATAATAGCGGGATGTCTAGATTTCCAACCAGAAAGTAACATTTTAAACTCTACTCTTTTTGTAAACTCTTCAAATGTAATGATCTCAACTGTGTTTTGGTCAAATGAGTCGTCGAACTTGTCATAGGGACTTTAAGTATCTGATTAACGTTTGGCTTGTTGTGGTTTTATTCCAGGGGCTCAGAATGTTTCTGTAAACAGCTGCCAGTTAAAATCTCAATTAAGGATGATCTTATTTCTTCACAAAAACAGATTCCTTCGCTCCACTTGCAAACCAAATGTTCTCTCTACTTCTTGATCGCAAAAACAGTGTCCAGATGATCACCGGTGAATAGTGTGATAAGACGTCCCTATTTATGTCCCCTGTCCCATCAGATTTATCCAAAACCAGTGATTTGTCCCAGTTTTATACAAGAAATGTCCCAGGTGTCGCTGTTTTTGACCAATCTGATCCCTGCCAACAGCAAAGAGAGGCATAAATTATAATTTGTTTAGGTAAAATACAGAAAAGCTGCTTAAAAATGACCAAAAAACAAAGAAAATGCACCTATACAGACTCACATTAGTGCTGAGTGCGTAACAATTTTCTTTAATTACGCACTCGTTTCACAATTTTATTATTACCAACCACCCCAAAAATGAGGATGTCCCAGTTTTTACTTCGAAAATCTGGTCACCCAACCGTTGAAACCTTCTCTGCGTTACGATTGGACGCTTTTGGTCATGTGACGTGGTCGTCGTTGTCACGCCGATGAACCATAAACCATAAAAAGTTGACCGTGGAATACAGAGCACAATGTTTCTGAGTTTGGTGGACGTTTAAAAATGTGCGTAAAACTGTTTTCTCTCTGTGGGATTTGCACCAGAGCGGCTGATTGGCTCTCGCTGGTCACGTGGCTGTGGATGGACCAATCAGAGAACTCCGGGGCAGTGATGGACCAATCAGAGGACTCCGTGGGTGTGGACTAACGTTGCACTAAGACGCAGTTTAACCCGAGTTTAACGTAGACGTGACGTAGGTAGAATCTGTGCTAGAGTGGCGCCACCTTCTGGAGGAGTCTAGTTTCACAGCAGCAAAAAAAAAAAACGTTTCGGCGACTGTTTCGGCAGTGCACAGGGCTTATCATAAACTTTTATCTATATTTATTACCCAATTTTGCAAAAAAAAAAAAATTTGACTTTTCTAAACTTTTAAAATGTTTTTGTTGAGAACCAGGTATCTTTAAAGTTATATTTACGCCTTTATTTAACTAACATTTGATTTTTATTTGATTCAAGAGGGGGTATTATGCAAAATCAATATATTTTTTAAGCTTTACCTAATCAAAAACGTGCCTGAAGAGGTTTTAGTTGTCACCCATGCATGTTTGAGTAATCTAGTGATCTCTCTCAGGCAATATTCGAACTCTCCGACACGAAAATTCTCCATAAATTTACAAAAACATGATACAAAACTGTGCACTACAACTTCACAAACCTGATTCGATGTGAAGTAGTTTCATCAGTTTCGTGTTGTGATTGTGCTCTGAAGGGGGGGTGACTTAGCATGGAGAGCAAAGTGAGGGGAGACTCAGAGCGTCAAAAACGAAAGCGAAACATTTTAATTTTTTGTTTCAGCTCATATAGCATTTTCAACATAATAACCCTAAATATGTGTTGGCAAATACCGGATAAAAGTGTAATACTCCCTCTTTCACGTCTTTGCCAAGCTGCTGTGAATCTTTTCATTTTTAGAACATGGTGCCAAGTTCCAGTTTTGTCCCAAAAATTTTAAAAAAGGAAAAAAAAAAAAAAGTGAGAAAAGAAAACATCAGCAACTCAGCTCTCCTGCTTCTGATTGGACAGTCTGAATCACGCTGTCGCCGGGCGGATCAGGGGCTCCAGGCTTCTGATTGGACCGTTTTTATTAATGAGAAATGTTTTTAAGATTTGAGTGAAATAAAATGTAAAAATAAAAGACTTTGGAACAACGTCTTGTGTTTTCCGTGGTGAGTTTCAGGTTTAAGAAGCTCCCGGTGTTGTCACTCGATTTCGATACCAAGGAATAGATTTGATACTCAGTATCGATAGTCCTGGTTTAGCCCTGGTTTATCTCTGGTTTATTCCATGGTTTAGTCCTGGTTCAGTTCTCGTTCAGCTCTGGTTTAGTCTTGGTTTAGTCCTGGTTCAGATCTAGTTTAGACCCGGTTCAGACCTTATTTAGTCCTGGTTTAGCCCTGGTTTAGTCCTGTTTTAGCCCTGGTTTAGTCCCTGGTTTAGACCTGATTTACTCCATGGTTTCGTCCTGGTTTAATCCTGGTTTAGCTCTGGTTTAGTCCTGCTTTAGTTCTTGTTCAGCTCTGGTTTCGTCCCTGACTGAGTCCCTGGTTTAAACCTGATTTAGTCCATGGTTTCGTCCTGGTTTAGTCCTGGTTTAGCCCTGATTTAGCCATGGTTTAGTCCATGATTAAGTCCTGGTTTAGTTCTCGTTCAGCTCTGGTTTAGTCCTGGTTAAGACCTGGTTTAGTCCTGGTTCAGATCTGGTTTAGACCTGGTTTAGTCCTTGTTTAGTCCTGCTTTAGCTCTGATTTATTCCAGGTTTAGTCCCTGGTTTAGACCTGATTTAGTCCATGGTTTAGTCCTGGTTTAGCTCTGGTTTAGTCCTGGTTTAGCCCTGATTTAGCCCTGGTTTAGTCCATGGTTTAGTTCTCGTTCAGATCTGGTTTATTCCTTGTTTAGCCCTGGTTTAGCCCTGGTTTAGTCCTGGTTTAGTCCTGGTTTAGCCCTGGTTCAGTCCTGGTTTAGACCCATTTCTGATTCTTTATATTAAACAGACAGGGAGACTGGTTCGAGGTATTTATTTTTTACACTTTAAAAAACTACAAAATCAACTTCTTCTTGATTGGACACGGGTCTGTACTCTGAAGTGCTCTGTCCTCCCCCCTCGTTTCCTAAGGCCTTTACATGCTTCCTTTGTGGGACGCTTCCTTCCTTATGTGCTTCCTTGTCCACTAGATGCTCCCATATCTTCAAATTATTATTATTTTTTCTTTTAAATCCGAGACAATTTGTGAAAAAGAAACGTTTTGAAGAAAAGTCTTACACATAATTTTACAGCTGATCAGCCTGAGAGATCACTAAATTACTGAAACATGCATGGATGACATTAAAAACCTCTTCAGGCGTGATTTTTGTGAGGGTTACCAAAAAAAAAAGCATAATAAATAAGCAATTTTGCAAAATAAAATAACCCCTCTTTAAAATTTCAAAGATAAAAATTTTGATTAAAAACAATGAAAATTTTGTCATGTTTTAAACTAGTCTTGAAACAGACTAGGGAACAACAGAAAAAAATAAAATGTAATAGAATATTTAAACACTAGAAATACTTAAAACAGAACAATCAGATATTTCCTTGAGTCATTCGTGTGCATTTACGGAGAGCATCTAGTAACCTCCTCACTTCAGTGCATAATCGTTTTAGTAAAATGGCCGATCCAGTGCCTTAAAGGTCCAATATTACACAAAAATTACTCCTTTGAGCTTTTAGTCTTATTATAATGTTGTCACCTCCTCAAAAAAACACAAAAAACACCAGAGTTTTGTTTCATTCACACGTTTGAGTAAGCCTTTATAATAAGTCCACATCTCCAAAGCTCAAAATGCTCTGTTCCACCTTGCGATGTCATGTAGCAATTTTTACGGAGCCCGACTGATGACGCGAGTGAAAAAAGATACTAAATCGTGGCCTCAAATTATTATTTCGTTCCCACAATATGGAATTTGTTCCCACGTTTTAGCCAACTTGTTCCAGGAGTGTGCCTATGTTCCCAAAGCCCTATGTTCCCTCATTTCTAAGGTGTTTTTTTTTTTTTTCTTTCCAAAATTAGGCCCTATGTTCCCACAATTTGAATCAGATTTTATCCCAATTTCTCTCAATTTGGTCGTCAGTTACACCCGACTTATTCTCCAGCAGCAAAGGATCATTGGTTGAAATGACTCTAAATCATCCCTTTAAATGTGGTATAAAAATAAAAATGACTTGAGTTTAATTTTGAGAGAAATCTTAAAAATAAGAAAAATCTAGAAATAAGGGAACAAAGGTCTGACCCCCTTGTTCCCACGTTTTAGCTACATTATGCCATTATATACTTTAGCCCATTTTTACCCACAAATTAAGAAATTGGCAATTACCGATTAAACAAAAAACAGAGCGATATTGTGATATCAGATTTACGTTCATTTAACAAGAACTTCCAGCATAGAAGCTCTAGACTTCGGCAGAGACAAATAACATTAAAATATATGTTAATTTATGTTTTTTGTTTTTTTTACCATTTTGATGTTTGCTATTAAAATGTATGCTTATGTACATGTAAGCCTATATAAAATCCTGGATCAGTGTAATAATGTGTACGAATTGGATAAAACGTGGGAACAAGTTACAGGATTCCCACTCTTTTTCACTGATAAAATTTCAAAACATTTCCATGACTTTTTCATGACCTAAAGTGAATTTTCCATGACTTTACAGCACCTACATGTGTAGAACTGATCAGACTTTTAGGGCTAAATATGAAATGTTAACTCTTTCCACTCACCTTATGGTTTGATATTATAGTTTTTAACATTCAAAATACTGTCAGTGCATTTATTGTCGTCTCTTTTTTAAACTAAAGGCGCAAAGGATCAGAAATAATCATAATAGTCTAATGAGAACTTAACAGAACGCTGTAGTTGGATGAAAGACATACTAAAACTCCATAACTTTTCCAAAACTTTCATTGAGTTTAAGAAATTCCATGACTTTTCCAGGCCTGAAAAATTACATTTTCAATTTCCATGACTTTTCCAGGATTTCCATGACTGTGGGAAACCGTGTAAACGAATTACATACTGTGGGAACAAAACAGTAATTTGAGGCTACAATTTAGTATATTTTTTCGCACATGTCATCAGAGGGGCTCCGTAGATTTCAAGTTATTTCCTTCCTTTCACTCTTTAATTTGGGAGAAAATTAAAAAATGCAAATGGTGCACTTCCTGTATTATCAGGACTGTGTGTTAAACATGTGTGAATGAAACAAAACACAACTCCAGGTCTGTTTGTGACGAGGAAACAACATAATAACATAGAAAATAGCGTAATATGGGTTCTTTAAAAAGTGTTTAAAAATACAATACTGACATAAAAAGGAAGTAGGAACCTTAACTCGTCTCCTAGCTCCTTCTCTCGCCTCCTTCAGAGCACAGACCCAAAATAAACCTTGTAACTTGCCAATATCACATCGGCAAAAGTTTGGATTTGACATAAATAACAACATTTTAAAAAACATAATCAAACATTCCTCTAAAAAATTGGCTTTTCCAGTAAAATTTCTGAAATGATTCGGACAAAACAAAACTCGGAGATGAAGTCGAATCCTCCATCCAAGGCAGCAGTCGTTCAAGTTTTAACACTTTGTAGAAATGTCTTTGTTTTTTGCATTGACTGGCTCAAAGGGGCGGGGTTTAAGGAAGGACGGGCGGGGCTTAGAGTCCAGGGGGCGGGGCTTAGAGTCCGGGGGGGGGGGGGGGGGGACGAGGAGTGTCACATGACCGTCTCCTCGTCCTGTGATAGGTCGACGGTGACTGTTAAGGGCGGGTCTTTGCGTCGCACCGAGGCGTCTTTGGAGTGATAGTCGTCGCTCTGGTCTTTGGCAAAGTTCACGAAGACCTGGAACAAGAACAAACCTGGTTTAGACCTGGTTTAAACTTGGTTGAGTCCTGGTTTAGACCTATTTCAGTCCTGGTTTAGGCCTGGTTTAGACCTGGTTTAGACCTAGTTCAGTCCCTGGTTCAGTCCCTGGTTCAGTCCCCAGTTTACACCTGTTTCAGTCCTTGGTTTAAACTTGGTTTAGACCTTTTTCAATCTCTGGTTCAGTCCTTGGTTTAGACCTGGTTCAGTCCCTGGCTCAGTCCCTGGCTCAGTCTCTAGTTTAGTCCTGGTTTAGACCTGGTTTAGACCTGTCTCAGGCCTTGTCTCAGGCCGGTTTCAGTACCTTGTCTAGCATGGTCTGGTTCAGTACCTGGTCTGGTTCAGTCCTGGTTCAGTCCTGGTTCAGTCCTGATTCAGTCCTGATTCAGTCCTGATTCAGTCCTGGTTCAGTCCTGGTCGAGTACCTAGTCTAGCATGGTCTTGTTCAGTCCTGGCTCAGTCCTGGTTCAGTACCTGGTTTTGTTCAGTCCTGGTTGAGTCATGGTTGAGTACCTGGTCTAGAGTGGTCTGGTTTAATCCCTGGTCTGGTCGAGTCCTGGTTCAGTCGCTGGTCTAGCGTGGTCTGGTTTAGTCCTTGGTCTGGTTGAGTCCTGATTGAGTCCTGATTGAGTCCTGGTCGAGTCCTGGTCGAGTACCTGGTCTAGCGTGGTCTGGTTTAGTCCTTGGTCTGGTTGAGTCCTGGTTGAGTCCTGGTTGAGTCCTGGTTCAGTCCTGGTCGAGTCCTGGTCGAGTACCTGGTCTAGCGTGGTCTGGGTCACAGAGTAGTCCTCGATGCTGAGTCGGCTCTTGTGCAGGGCGAGCGTGTTGAAGATGTGGGCGAGGGAGGTGAGGCGCGAGGGCAGCTGGTACTGGAGCATGTTTCGGTGCTTCTCTTTCAGGATGCTGCCGCGAAGAGACGCCTCGATGAACTTCTGCACCGGGACCAGGTCTGGATCCGGACCGGCCACACGCAGCACGATGGTGTAACCGTCTCCAAACCTGCACGGCACAGGGGTCACAGGTCAGAGGTTACAGGGTTCAATTTGCTTTTCACATGTGCTTTTCAAACATTTACCGTAATCTCTGGACTATTGAGTGCACCTGAATATAAGACGCGTCAACTACATTTTAAAAGAAAAAAAGCCAAATACAACGAGGCTAAAATCTCCAACAAACGAAGAGGCCGCAGATGTGTAACCTGTCCATTTTACAAAGAACTGGACCGTATTTTGGTAGACAAGCCCAGAGTTTAGGCGACTTCCGTAAACACTGAGCACACTCTCTGCATGTGACGTCGTCGTGTCCTCCAGTGCAACACGTGGGACACTTTTGGGTTTAAAGTTCACACTGGAGATCACATACAAGTCGCATTTAACTGGAAATGTGAACGACCTCGCAAAAAAAATCTGACAAAAAAATCCGCATTAAGCTAAGTTAATAAGCAGCAATAATGTGTCCTACCACAATTATGCAGATGACACTCAGATCTACGTCTCTCTGGCAGCAGGAGACTATGGACCAGTGGACTCACTTGGTCACTGCATCCAACAGATCAGTGTGTGGAGGCAAAACAACTTTCTCCAGCTAAACTCTGACAAGACTGAAGTCATAGTGTTTGGTCCACAGAAACAAAGGGACAGTGTCAGCAGTCACCTCCAGTCTCTCGCTCTAAAACCTTCAAATCAGGCAAGAAATCTCGGGGTAATAATGGACTCAGACTTGAACTTTAACAGCCACATCAAATCAATAACATCTGCAGCCTTTTACCATCTAAAAAACATCGCAAAAATCAAAGGTTTACTGTCTAAATCAGACTTGGAGAAACTTATCCATGCGTTTGTCTCCAGTAGGTTAGATACTGTAATGTTCTGCTCACTGGTCTCTCCAAACGAGCTGTGAGACGCTGCAGAACATCCAGAACATCCAGAACATCCAGAACATCCAGAACGCTGCAGCTCAGGTCCTGACTCGAACTAGGAAGTACGAGCACATAAGTCCTGGTCTCAGGTCTCTGCACTGGCTCCTGTGGCTCAGAGACTTTAAAGCAGCTCTGCTTGTACAAGTGTCTCTCCATGGCCGAGCAGCAAAGTCCATCTGTGACATGTTAGTGTCATATGAACATCTCACACTCTGAGGAGCTCAGGGACCGGCCTCCTGCTGGTGCCCAGAGTCACGACTAAACAAGGGGAGTCAGAGTTTCAGGTTCATGCAGCTAAAACCTGGAACAGTCTGAACATGTGAGACAGACTCTTCTGTGACGCTGTTTAAATCCAGACTCAAAACATTTCTGTTTAACTGTGCATAAAACTGAAAGGTTTTCATTCCTCACTCTTCTCTCCAATTTATGTCTCTCTTTTTAAATTTTAATCTTCGTGATTATTTATGTTTTGATTTGTTTTTATTATGATTTTAATGTATTTCTTATTCTGTAAAGCACTTTGAATTACTTTGTATACGAATTGTGTTATACAAATAAACTTGCCTTGCCTTAAGCATTAACCCTGCAGTCTGATCGTAGACTAAATGACGTCAAGGTTTGGTTGGTTAAAAAAAAAAATGTCAGCGTAATGAAGGAAAAACTGAGGTCATATCATTTCTATGGCAAAAACCAAATACATTTGTTCATCTATTCCTCCTGTAAGCAGTGAAGAGCTGTGGACAAACAGTGAATAACAGAGTGTCCAGCAGGGGGCGCAGGGAGCTGACCTGTTCTTCAGGTGCTGTACACTCCCCAGGCAGCGGAACCTCCCGTTCACCATGATGGCCATCCTGGTGCACAGAGCCTCACACTCCTCCATACTGCAACACAAACACACACACAGACACACACAAACAGTTTAGTAATGGTTTCGTCAATCTTAAAGTGCATATGACAGCTAAACACTAAAACATAGTTAACTTAAAACATAATTTAACTTTAACTTCCTTTAAAAACTCTGATAAATATTTATCACAGGTACCATCCCACCAAACCAAACAAACCAAGTTCCTGCTTTTATTCTAGTTTAGTCTTGGTTTAGTCCAACAGTCCTGGGCTTAGTTCCGTTTTAGACCCATCTTATTTCTGGTTTAATGCTAATCAGTGTTGGGGAAGTTACTCGTTACTTGTTACAGTTCTAAAAGTAATCCCTTTTTTTACTTGGTTACCCTCTATAGAAAGTAACTTTTTACATTACTCTTTACTTTGGTCACTTTTTGATGGTAAACTCCATCTAAGGCGAAATACGGCACAAGATCGACAGTCAACAAGAACCGTAAGGGAAGGTTGAAAAGAACTTTGAAGAGAGAGTTCAAGAGGACGTGAATCCATAAACGGGTGGATTCTGCCCCGGGATTCAACTCGACGGGCGAGAGACGGCTGCTTGGTGCGGGAGGATCCCCTCGAGGGACCTCTCCCTGCCGAGCGCACTTCCTCTAAGGCGGTGCGCTGCTACCAGATCTGGGTCGGGCAGAAAAGGTTCGACGCTCCGGCTGCTTTACAGCCTGGACCTCGCCACTTTCCGGGGCTGTGGGATCAGTGCCCACTGCGCCCACGTACACAGAAAAGTAACGCTGCACGGTCCTGCCCATAGACCGTATGAATCAACAGACTGTATTGTCTTTAAACAAAACCCAAGAAGTTAAAGTACATAAGACAACAAAATGAAAATCTTTGGCTTAAGAATCAACAAAGTTAACAACAAAGTTAACCCGCTAGCCACTTTCCAAATAATGAACATGGGGGCGCTTCTGGCTCTGCTATCATTTCAGTCTTAAAATATTTGTATTAACCTGCTCAGCATGATCTTCATGTTTTTAATTTGTTATTTTGTCTATAAATACATTTTTATTCCTAATATGGAACTCGGCTACAAATTTGCCCCTATAACGGCAAGACGTGATGAGCTTCATCTTGACTCCGGTCTCACGGTCTCAGTCCGGTCTCATCACTCAGTCTCAAGTCTCATCAGGTCTCATCACCGGTCTCAGCCTCAGTCCGGTCTCAGTCTCCGTCTCAGTCCCGTCTCAGTCACGTCTCAGTCCCGTCTCAGTCCCGCCTCAGTCCCGTCTCACCTGTGTGACGTGAGCACGATGGAGCGTCCGGTCTTGATGAGTCCGTGGATGCAGGTCCAGAGGGCGCGGCGGGCTTTGGGGTCCATGCCTGTAGTGGGCTCGTCCTAGAACCAGGTCCACGGCCGTAGACACGAGCGCCCACAGGTGAACCAGGAAGAACAGGGAGAAGGTGAGGAGGAGGAGCAGCATCGGGCAGCCAATCAGAGCGCAGCCGAGGGAGGAGAGCCAATCAGAGCGCAGCCGAGGGAGGAGAGCCAATCAGAGCGCAGCCGAGGGAGGAGAGCCAATCAGAGCGCAGCCGAGGGAGGAGAGCCAATCAGAGCGCAGCCGAGGGAGGAGAGCCAAACAAATACAAAATCTTGTCAGTTAAAAACGTCACAACTTCTGTAAAAAGTCTTCATACATTCCTATATTTATGTCTCCTAGTCTCCTCTCTCCTAGTGTCCTAGTCTCCTCCTGTCTTTGTCTCCTTATTTTCTAGTCTCCTTGTTTCCTAGTCTCCTCTGTCCAAATGTCCTTGTCTCCCTCTCTCCTATTCTCTTCTAACCTAGTGTCCTAGTCTCCTCCTGTCCTAGTCTCCTTGTTTCCTAATCTCCTCTCTCCTAGTGTCCTAGTCTCCCTCTCTCCTATTCTCTTCTAACCTAGTGTCCTAGTCTCCTCGTGTCTTTGTCTCCTTATTTTCTAGTCTCCTTGTTTCCTAGTCTCCTCTGTCCTAGTGTCCTTGTCTCCCTCTCTCCTATTCTCTTCTAACCTAGTGTCCTAGTCTCCTTGTTTCCTAGTCTCCTCTGTCCTAATGTCCTCTCTCCTAGGCTCCTTGTGTCCTAGGCTCCTCTCTCCTGGTGTCCTTGTCTCCCTCTCTCCTATTCTCTTCTAACCTAGTGTCCTAGTGTCTTTGTTTTCTAGTCTCCTTGTTTCCTAGTCTCCTCTGCCCTAGTCTCCTTGTGTCCTAGTCTCCTTGTGTCCTAGTCTCCTCTTTCCTAGTGTCCTCTCTCCTACTGTCCTAGTCTCCTCTCTCCTAGTCTCCTAGTTTTCTAGTGTCCTTGTTTCACTCTCTCTAGTCTCCTCTCTCCTAGTGTTCTAGTTTCCTCTTTCCTAGTTTCCTAGTTTCTCTCTCTCTAGTCCCCTCTCTCCTACTTGCCTTTGTCCTAGTGTCCTAGTCTCCTCTCTCTCCTAGCCTCCTCTCTCGTCTCCTCTCTCTAGCTTCCTCTCTCCTCGTTTCCTCTCTGTCCTCGTCTCCTCTCTCTATAGCCTCCTCTGTCCTCGTCTCCTCTGTCCTCACTCGTTTAAATACTTTCTCCTGAATAAAGGCCGTGTCCCACTTTTCTCGCTCTTAATCCTAAGCCCTCCTCTGATTGGTCAACGCCGTTACGTAACCCACAGTTTACACCATCAAAGATTTCTCAAGAATCACATCGAAGAAACAAAAGTACTACAACTACTACTATAACTGCAGTACTTTTTACTTTGTAGTAGTAGTAACAGTATAGTAAAAAAAACTAAGAATGTGAATTTGAGTAGTTTGGACTGCACACGAACATTAAATAAAAATAAATAAAATAAAATCTTAGGTAATTCTTAAAGGTGTTTTTGTAGATTTATAGTCTGGGGGAGATCCCTAGATTACTCAAACATGCACAGATGACATTTAAAACCTCTTCAGTAAAGTTTTCAATGATGGAACAGTGTTAAAACATGTTAGAAAGTTAAAAAACGTGTATAATTTCTTTAAGGATGTTTTTTGACCGTAGTGGTGTTTAAGATGAAGTGTCATGTACCAGGAAAACCACAGGGGGCGCTCCGATCAGGGACATGGCCGTGGAAAGTTTCCTCAGGTTTCCTCCGCTGTAACTTCCCGCCTTTTTATCAGCGTATTTCACCAGACCGAGCTTCCGGATCCCCCACTCTGCAACCTGTCAGAAACACACATGAGACAGGAGCAGACAGGAGCAGAGACAGACAGAGCAGAGAGCAGAGACAGGAGCAGAGACAGGAGCAGAGACAAGAGCAAACAGGTGCAGACAGGAGTAGAGACAGGAGCAGACAGGAGCAGAGACAGGAGACAGACAGAGACAGAGCAGAGACAGGAGCAGACAGGAGACAGAGACAGCAGAGACAGCAGAGACAGGAGCAGACAGGAGCAGACAGGAGCAGAGACAGGAGCAGAGACAGGAGCAGACAGGAGACAGAGACAGAGACAGAGAGACAGAGGAGCAGACTGGAGAAGAGACAGGAACGGACAGGACCAGGGCTAGAAGAGGAGACAGGAGCAGACAGGAGCAGACAGGAGCTGAGACAGGAGCTGAGACAGGGGCAGAGACAGGAGCAGAGACAGGAGCAGAGACAAGAGCAGAGACAGGAACAGAGACAGGAGCAAACAGGAGCAGACAGGAGCACAGAGACAGGAGCAGACAGGAGCAGAGACAGGCAGAGACAGGCAGAGACAGAGAGCAGACAGGAGCAGAGACAGAGGGCAGAGACAGGAGACAGCAGAGACAGGAGCAGAGACAGAGCAGACAGGAGGACAAGACAGGAGCAGAGAGGAGCAGAGAGACAGGGGCAGAGACAGGAGCAGACAGGAGCAGAGACAGGGAGCAGAGACAGGAGCAGAGACAGGAGCAGACAGGGGCAGAGACAGGAGCAGAGACAAGAGCAGAGACAGGAGCAGAGACAGGAGCAAACAGGTGCAGACAGGAGTCAAGACAGAAGACAGAGCAGAGGAGCAGACAGGGCAGACAGGGAGCAGAGACAGGAGCAGAGACAGGGCAGAGACAGAGAGCAGAGACAGGGAGCAGAGACAGGGGCAGAGACAGGAGCAAACAGGAGCAGACAGGAGTCAAGACAGGAGCAGAGAGGAGCAGAGACAGGGGCTGAGACAGGAGCAGACAGGAGCAGAGACAGGGGCAGAGACAGGAGCAAACAGGTGCAGACAGGAGCTGAGACAGGGGCTGAGACAGGGAGCAGAGACAGGAGCAGAGACAGGTGCAGACAGGAGCAGACAGGTGCACATAGAAACAGACAGGAGCAGACAGGTGCAAAACCAGAGGAACAGACAGGTGCATACAGGAGCAGAGCCAGTGGAGCAGACAGGTGCAGACAGGTGTAGAACCAGAAGAACAGACAGGAGCAAACAGGAACAGAGACAGGTGCAGAGCCAGAGGAGAAAACAGGTGCAAACAGGAGCAGAGACAGGTACAGACAGGTGCAGACAGGTGCAGACAGGTGTGTGTGGTACTCACGTCGCAGACCTGCTCCTCGGGGACGCCCCTGAGGACGGCGTACAGCTCCAGATGTTCTCGTCCCGTCAGGAGCTCGTTGACGGCGTCGAACTGTGGACAGTATCCCATGTTCTGATGAACCTCGTCGATCTCACGAAGAATACTGCACACAAGGTTTTACTGCTTTAGGACTGGGGTAATAATGGCAGTAATAAAGTACACGGTAATGAAGTACACAGTAATGAAGTACACAGTAATAGAGTACACAGTAATAAATGTAAGTACAGTGGTGTAGTAAACAGGGCCGAGGTTTGAACAGAAACATGAGGCAACACTGGATTAAAATTAATCTGAGGCCCAGACGGAGCAAAACACCACTGTCCCCATTCACCGCAAACAGGACCAGACCAGGACCAGACCAGGGCCAGACTAACCAACTAAACCAGGACTAATCCAGGACTAAACCAGGACTAAACCAGAACTAAAACAGGACTAAGACAGGTCTAAAACAGGACTAAACCAGGACTAAACCAGGACTAAACCAGAACTAAAACAGGACTAAAACAGGACTAAGACAGGTCTAAGACAGGACTAAACCAGGACTAAACCAGGACTAAACCAAGAGTAAACCAGGACTAAAACAGGACTAAACCAAGAGTAAACCAGGACTAAAACAGGACTAAGACAGGTCTAAAACAGGTCTAAGCCAGGACTAAACCAGGACTAAACCAAGACTAAACCAGGACTAAACTACATCTAAAGAATGTCTAATCATTCTCTAAACCTGGACCAAACCAGAACTAAACCAAGACTATACCAGGACTACACCAGGTATAAACCAGGACTAACAAAGATTAGACATTCTTTAAACATAATCTAAACCAGGTCTAAACCAGGACTAAACCAGGACTAAACCAGCATTAAACTATGTCTAAAAAATGTCTAATCATTCTCTGAACCTGGACTAAACCTGAACTAAACCAAGACTACCATAAGACTACACCAGGACTAAGAAAGGACTAAGAAAGGACTAAGCCAGGACTAAGCCAGGTCTAAACTAGCACTAAACTATGTCAAAAGAATGTCTAATCATTTTCTAAACCCGGACTAAACCCGTACCAAACCCGAACTAAACCAGGACTACATCAGGACTAAACCGGGACTAAACCAGGACTACACCAGATCTAAACCAGGTTTAAACCAGGACTAAACCAGGACTAATCCAGGACTAAGCCAGGTCTAAACTATGTCTAAAGAATGTCTAATCAATCTCTAAACCCAGACTAAACCAAGACTAAACAAAAACTAAACCAAACTACACCAGGACTGCACCAGGTCTAGAGCCGGTCTAAACCCGGTCTAGAGCCGGCTCACCTCTTGCCGTTGAGGAAGGCCTCTCCGCTGGTCACCACAGTGTCGCCCGTCAGCATTTTGAAGGTGGTGGTTTTCCCGGCTCCGTTTACTCCCAGCAGACCAAAACACTGCCCGGCAACAGAGGAAAAAAACAGCCAATCAGAACCAAGACAATATATAATCGACCAATCAGAACACAGATAATTTTATTGCATCTTATAACGCAATACAAACTAAACTGTGAGACTTTCTGGATGGTTGGAGCTTAAAAAAGTTGAGTCTTACTTCTCCGGGAGGGATGCCCACACAGAGGCGGTCCACGGCGGGCTTCTGCTTCGCCTTGAACACCTAAAACAGAACAGAAACAGACTCTTGTTACCGCGAGTTTGTAAATAACGATGTATTCTGTCGATAATCCTGCATATTAACTCTCTAAAAGCTGCGTTTAGTCATTTAGTTCCGAGTGATGAGAAACAGAAAAGTGAAAATAACGTTGAATAGGCATAAAATGGCTCCAATAAACAGGAAACTGAAAACTCGGGCTGGGAAATGAATTGGATTTCAGTCAGAATCAGAATCAGAGGAGTTTTGTGCATTTGTGGAGAGGAAACATGATTTTCTCTCACCTAAATTTAATTAAAGTTTGAGTTTTCGTCTTTTTCTCCTTTTGTGGCGCTTTGACCGATTAGATTCAAATAATTGTCATGGTCAGAACTAAACCAGGGCTGAAACAGGACTAAACCAGGACTAAACCAGGGCTGAACCAGAACTAAACCAGGACTAAACAAGGACTAAACCAGGGCTAAAGCAGGACTGAACCAGGGCTGAATCAGAACTGAACCAGGACTACACCAGGACTACACCAGGACTCAGGACTACACCAGGACTACACCAGGACTGAACCAGGACTGAACCAGGACTGAACCAGGACTAAACCAGGACTAAACCAGGGCTGAACCAGGACTAAACAGGAATAAACTAGGACTGAACCAGGACTAAACCAGGGCTAAACCAGGGCTAAACCAGGACTGAACCAGGACTGAACCAGGACTAAACCAGGACTAAACCAGGACTGAACAAGGACTACACCAGGACTAAACCAGAACTGAACCAGGACTGAACCAGAACTGAACCAGAACTGAACCAGGACTAGACCAGGACTGAACCAGGACTGAAACCAGGACTAAAACCAGGACTAAACCAGGACTGAACCAGACTGAACCAGGGCTGAACCAGGGCTGAACCAGGACTGAACCAGGGCTAAACCAGGAACTGAACCAGGACTGAACCAGAACTGAACCAGGACAAACCAGGAATAAACCAGGCTTTACCAGAACTAAACCAGGAATAAACCAGGGCTGAACCAGAACTAAACCAGGAAAACCAGGGCTGAACCAGAACTAAACCAGGACTAAACCAGGGCTGAAACCAGAACTAAACCAGGACTAAACAGGGACTAAACCAGGACTAAACAAAGACTGAACCAGGATTGAACCAGGACTAAACCAGGGCTAAAGCAGGACTGAACCAGGGCTGAACCAGAACTGAACCAGGACTAGACCAGGACTAAACCAGGACTAACCAGGACTGAACCAGGACTGAACCAGGACTGAACCAGGACTGAACCAGGGCTGAACCAGGACTAGACCAGGACTAGACCAGGACTAACCAGGACTGAACCAGGACGAACCAGGACTGAACCAGGACTGAACCAGAACTGAACTGAACCAGGACTGAACCAGGACAACACCAGGACAACACCAGGACAACACCAGGACTGAACCAGAACTGAACCAAAACTGAATCAGGACTGAACCAGGACTGAACCAGAACTGAACCAGAACTGAACCAGAACTGAACCAGGACTGAACCAAAATTGAACCAGAACTGAACCAGGCCTAAACCAGGACCGAACCAGAACCGAACCAGGACTAAACTGGGGCTGAACCAGGACTAAACCAGGACTACACCAGGACTCTTTGTGTAGGACCTTGGTGAGTTCGCGTAGCTCCAGGATGTCTCCGTGTCCCAGACCGTGGACGATCCTCTGTCGCTCTTTGGCCACGTCCTCGTCCTCGTCCCCCAGAGGACTCAGCTTGTGCAGGGAGCTGGTGGGTCTGAAACGCACAGAGACACCGTCAACACGCAAGATTTTTATTTTATTTTTGGTAATTTGTTTAGATTTTAAGTTGAAATCTGACCTGGGTTTGATGCAGAAGCGATACTGGATGAGGACGGTGATGATGAAGAAGACCACGCCCTCCACCGCCATCGCAAACAAGTTCTTCCCGACCATGTCCCACTCCAGAGGGGAGCGCAGACGGTTCTCCCCTGGAAAACAGAGACCAGGTCAGAACCAGGACCGGACCAGGACTGAGACAGGACTGAGACAGGACTGAGACAGGACTGAGACAGGACTCAGGACTGAGACAGGACTGAGACAGGACTGAGACCAGGACTGAGACAGGACTGGACAGGGACCAGGACTGGACAGGACTGAGACAGGACTGGACCAGGACTGAGACAGGACTGGACCAGGACTGAGACAGGACTGGACCAGGACTGAGACAGGACTGAGACAGGACTGAGACAGGACCGGACCAGGACTGAGACAGGACTGAGACAGGACTGAGACAGGACTGGACCAGGACTGAGACAGGACTGAGACAGGACTGAGACAGGAGGACCAGGACTGACAGGACTGAGACAGGACTGAGACAGGACTGAGACAGGACTGAGACAGGACTGAGACAGGACTGGACAGGACTGAGACAGGACTGGAGACAGGACTGGACCAGGACTGAGACAGGACTGAGACAGGACTGGACAGGACTGAGACAGGACTGGACCAGGACTGGACCAGGACTGAGACAGGACTGACCAGGACTGAGACAGGACTGGACCAGGACCGGACCAGGACTGAGACAGGACTGAGACAGGACTGAGACAGGACTGGACAGGACTGGACCAGGACCGGAACAGGACAGGACCGGGACAGGACCGGGACAGGACCAGGACTGAGACAGGACTGAGACAGGACTGAGACAGGACTGGACCAGGACGAGACAGGACTGAGACAGGACTGGACCAGGACTGAGACAGGACTGAGACAAGACTGAGACAGGACTGAACCAGGACTGAGACAGGACCGGACCAGGACTGAGACAGGACCGGACCAGGACTGAGACAGGACTGAGACAGGACTGAGACAGGACTGAGACAGGACTGGACCAGGACCGGGACAGGACCGGGACAGGACCGGGACTGGACTGAACCAGGACCGGGACAGGACTGGACCAGGACTGAGACAGGACTGAGACAAAACTGAGACAGAACTGAACCAGGGCTGGACCAGGACCGGGACAGGACCGGGACTGGACCAGGACCGGGACAGGACTGAACCAGGACCGGGACCAGGACTGAACCAGGACCGGGACAGGACTGAGACAGAACTGGACCAGGACTGAACCAGGACTGAACCAGGACTGAACCAGGACTGAACCAGGACTGAGACCAAGACTGAGACAGGTCTGGACCAGGACTGAGACAGGACTAGACCAGGACTGGACCACCAGTGAACCAGGACTGAGACAGGACTGAGACAGGACTGAGACAGGACTGGACCAGGACTAAAACAGGACGGAAGCAGGACCGAGACAGGACCAGGACTGGGCCAGGACTAAGACAGGACTGAACCAGAACTGAACCAGGACTGAACCAGGACTGAACCAGGACTGAACCAGGACTGAACCAGGACTAAGACAGGACTAAGACAGGACTGAACCAGGACTGAGACAGGACTGAACCAGCACTGAAAGAGGAATGGACCAGGACTGAAAGTAGATGTTTTCATGTGATACTCGAGTATTAATTTCTCCACTTTTACTTAAGTAACAAAATTTGAGGATTTCTTCCAGCACTTCTTGGTTCAGGACTGAAACATTTGACATATTTTTTGTCCCAAGTCCCACCCCTGGTCTTTGTTTGTGTGTGTTTGTGTCTTAGATGTTTCCTCACCAAACCTCTCCAGCGCGTCGGCCATGGCCTGGTTCTTCACCATGTCGATGAGTCCTCGGCCCAAACAGAAGTGAGGGAAGATCAGCAGAACGTTCTTCAGGATGTCGTTAATGCCCCCGATCTCCTGAACACCGAACAACAAACACGAAGACTTTCAAAATACACTCAAATCTGCCCACACACGAACCTTCTGAGATACAACCAGACTTAAAAAGCTCTTATAAATATTTAACTCTTTCCCCCCTGGACGCCTACTAGGAACAACCCGTACATATGTTACTAGGGCTACCCATAGAGCATAACTGCATAAAAGAAAACAGACTGCCACGAGTGATTATAAATGATTTTTACACTCATGAACTTAATTGTAACACAGACATATTTGTATCTCTGGAAACCTTAGACTCTAAACTCTTCATTTATGGATGTTTAAATGTGATTCAACTCATTTACAGGTTTACAACAGCTCACTGAAAATGAGAGTTTACCTGGTCAGGTGCAAACTAGAAAACAAAAAAACTACATTCAGCATCTGATATCTGCATGTTCTGAGTACTATATTCATAAAAAAATAAAAAATATACTTTGTCAAAGTATTTAAACAGATTTCATATCACCAGATACAGTATAGCCAAGTGTGCACCTGTTTTTACCTGTTGTTCACCTGTGTGCACCCAATTAATTTTTTTCCATTTAACTTATTCAACTCATTTAGCTTATTCAACTTATTTTATTTATTCAACTCATTTAACTTATTCAACTAATTTAGCTTATTATAATATAATAATATAATAATAAAACTCTTCCCCGTCAGTGTGTGTCCAGTATTTGTCATCTTGGCTATTTTCTCGATGTGCAGAGCTCCGCATAAGCGTTTTTTCTGTAGCGATTCTGTTATACATCGCATCTTGGAAAAAAAGACTGAAATATTTTAAAGGACTGGCCTGGGCAACATCCAGATTTCGGGACAATTTTGGTTCATAATCGAGTATAAAGCTCAGATAGTTTGTTGGGATATCGCAGGACTCCACACAGACGCATCAGCGGCATTCTCACCTTCTCCCCGAAAGTCCGTCGCTATCGCTGTTTTCCACTTTATAATCAACTTCAACATCATCACTTTGAAATCTATAAAAGTCACTTTCTCTAAACTTATCCATAAAATACATCTGCTCCTCATTATTTCTAAAACTGTGCGCCGCAGCGCCGCGATCTTTCCATTGCACGTGTTTCGTGTTGTGTTTTTTCCGGAAGCTACCATCGTCACTATTTCGATTAACTTCGGAAAAAATCGGCGAAAACATATCCTTGAATCCTATTGGTCAGTCTAGTGTGGGTTGTAGTGGCCCCACCGATCGCAGTCTCTGTTTAAATGTGAAAAACCGAGCCGTTTCTAAAGGTCGTCAAATCTCGTCTTTAGTGATACGGCGGAGGTGTCAAAAGTCGTCATTAAGGGAACAGGGGGGTCGTCAAATGTCGTCTTCATGGGGGAAAGAGTTAAAGTGCACTGACGTTGTTCCCGAACAGCTCCATGACGAAGGTGGAGATGCTCCCGTTGATGCCGATCAGGATGTTGGCGCTGGTGAGGACCACGTAGGCCGTGGACGGGATGGTGAAGAAGAACGAGGCCGGGTACATGAGGGGCGTGATGGACCAGCTGAAACACAAATACTGTCATATAAGTACTACAAACACAAATACTATTACTACTACTACTACTGGGTATATATTAGGGGGAGTGATGGACCAACTGAAATATAAATACTGCAATATAAGTTACTATTACTACTACTGCAGGGGGTACATCAGGGGTGTGATGGACCAGCGGAAACAGAAATACTGCACTATAAGTACTACTAATATCAGTAGCAGTAGTAGCAGTATGGCAAAATACTGTAATATTCTGCACTGCTCCATACAGAAATAGTAGTAGCAGTATTAGTAGTAGTAGTATTAGTATTAGTAGTAGTAGTAGTAGTAGTACTATTCTGGTAAAGTACTGACCTGTAGAGCAGTAGTAGTAGTAGTAGTAGTAGTAGTAGTAGTAGCAGTAGTAGTAGTAGTAGTAGTAGTAGTAGTAGTAGTAGTAGTAGTAGCAGTAGTAGTAGTAGTAGTAGTAGTAGTAGTAGTAGTAGTATAGTACTGATAGTAGTAGCAGTAGTAGTAGTAGTAGTAGTAGTAGTAGTAGTAGTAGTAGTAGTAGTAGTAGTAGTAGTAGTAGCAGTAGTAGCAGTAGCAGTAGTAGTAGTAGTAGTAGTAGTAGTAGTAGTAGTAGTAGTAGTAGTAGTAGTAGTAGTAGTAGTAGTAGTAGTAGTAATAGTAGTAGTAGTAGTAGTAGTATAGTAGTACTGACCCGTAGAGCAGTAGTAGTAGTAGTAGTAGTAGTAGTAGTAGTAGTAGTAGTAGTAGAGTAGTAGTAGTAGTAGTAGTAGTAGTAGTAGTAGTAGAGTAGTAGTAGTAGTAGCAGTAGTAAGTAGTAATAGTTAGTAGTAGTAGTAGTAGTAGTAGTAGTAGTAGTAGTAGTAGTAGTACTGACCTGTAGAGCAGTAGTAGTAGTAGTAGTAGTAGTAGTAGTAGTAGTAGTAGTAGTAGTAGTAGTAGTAGTATAGTACTGACCCGTAGAGCAGTAGTAGTAGTAGTAGTATAGTACTGACCCGTAGAGCAGTAGCAGTAGTAGTAGTAGTAGTAGTAGTAGTAGCAGTAGCAGTAGTAGTAGTAGTAGTAGTAGTAGTAGTAATAGTAGTAGTAGTAGTAGTAGTAGTAGTAGTAGTAGTAGCAGTAGTAGTAGTAGTAGTAGTAGTAGTATAGTACTGACCCGTAGAGCAGTAGTAGTAGTAGTAGTAGTAGTAGTAGTAGTAGTAGTATAGTACTGACCCAGTAGTAGTAGTAGTAGTAGTAGTAGTAGTAGTAGTATAGTACTGACCCGTAGAGCAGTAGTAGCAGTAGTAGTAGTAGTAATAGTAGTAGTAGTAGTAGTAGTAGTAGTAGTAGTAGTAGTAGTAGTAGTAGTATAGTACTGACCCGTAGAGCAGTAGTAGTAGTAGTAGTAGTAGTAGTAGTAGTAGTAGTAGTAGTAGTAGTAGTAGTAGTAGTAGTAGTAGTAGTAGTATAGTACTGACCCAGTAGTAGTAGTAGTAGTAGTAATAGTAGTAGTAGTAGTAGAGTAGTAGTAGTAGTAGTAGTAGTAGTAGTATAGTACTGACCCGTAGAGCAGTAGTAGTAGTAGTAGTAGTAGTATAGTACTGACCCGTAGAGCAGTAGTAGTAGTAGTAGTAGTAGTAGTAGTAGTAGTAGTAGTACCCGTAGAGCAGTAGTAGTAGTAGTAGTAGTAGTAGTAGTAGTAGTAGTAGTAGTAGTAGTAGTAGTAGTAGTAGTAGTACTGAGCAGTAGTAGCAGTAGTAGTAGTAGTAGTAGTAGTAGTAGTAGTATAGTAGTAGTAGCCGTAGAGCAGTAGTAGTAGTAGTAGTAGTAGTAGTAGTAGTATAGTAGTAGAAGCAGTAGTAGTAGAGTAGTAGTAGTAGTAGTAGTAGTAGTAGTAGTAGTAGTAGTAGTAGTAGTAGTAGTAGTAGTAGTAGTAGTAGTAGTAGTAGTATAGTAGTAGTTAGTAGTAGTAGTAGTAGTTAGTAGTAGCAGTAGTAGTAGTAGTAGTAGTAGTAGTAGTAGTAGTAGTAGTAGTATAGTACTGACCCGTAGAGCAGTAGTAGTAGTAGCAGTAGTAGTAGTAGTAGTAAGTAGTAGTAGTAGTAGTAGTAGTAGTATAGTACTGACCCGTAGAGCAGTAGTAACAGGGCGAGCACAGGCAGGTTTGTGGACGACACGTAGGCCTTTTGTTGGAAGCAGACGAAGATGAGGATGACGAGGGTCGCAGGCACCACGTAATTACACTGGAAACAAACACTTTTGTTTATAAACACACTTACAGGAGTAAAAGTGATAAGTACAAGACTCAAACTAGGCCTAGAACTCGGTCTAGCTCAGGGACTGGATCAAAACTACTAAACCTGGTCTAACGCAGGTCTAAATTTGGTCTTGTTTTGGCCTCACCATGTCCCAGATGAAGTTGGCCACCCAGTACAGCAGGGGGTGCACTCCGCTGATGAACTGCATGTGTTTGGCTTTGGACACGCGCTCCTGGATGAGGAAGACCACGAAGCTGGCGGGGACGAAGGACATGGCGAAGATCACGCAGATGGACACCAGGACGTCCACAGAGGTCGTCACGCTGCGGGGACAGAGGAGTGAGGACCAAATGTACCCAGCATTTACAGAACATTTTACAGAGTCTAGTTCCTGCCCCAGACCCCGGTCCAGTCCAGTTCTTGGTCCAGTCCCAGTCCTGGTCTCAGTCCCTAGTCCCCGGTCCTTACAGAGCGACTTGTGAGAGCTGCTCCTTGGTCAGGTTGAGCGGGTGGTTGAAGGCGGTGATGCCGTAGTGAGTGGGGTCGGCCTCTGGGGGCAGTGCTGCGCGCAGGATGGCGTTGTTCATGACGTTGAGGAAGGCGCCCACACTGTGCCAGCCTTTGTTATTGAACCAGATCTGGACCAGGACCAAGACGAGACCAAGTTAGTACCACAATAATAGAACTTTAATGTACTCAAGAGACAGGCTTTTTAAATTTATACACATTTATACACAAGTCAGTGCTTCATTAAATACCTATTCACTTGTTTGTTAAATTTTTAATAAATGAATTTTTAGAGCTTCACCATTTATTCACCCGAAATTATATTTGAAGTGATTTGTGCATTTTTGAACATTCTTTAATCAATTTTTAAGACGCCATTTTTCAGGTGAACTCCTGTCCTCACTGCCACCGATGTACACGCACAGCTCTGTACTCACTTTGTTCTCCAATTTTATTATCTTAATCTTATTTAAAGTCAGCTTTTTTATTATTTTAATAGTCATTTTAGATGAATATTATGATTTTAAATGTCCCATTTATAACATTATGATCCACGGGTGTCATAGATTATAACTATAGAGCAAAAACAAGCACAGTGTTTTCTTTAAGGTTTTTAGTTGAACTGATTAATATAATTTCCCAAACATGTATGAATCAAAACAACTAGTAAACTAATAACAAATAACAACATAGTTATAAGCTCAAATATCTCAAACACACGTTCCAAACTTAATAACAGTGCACAGTGAGACCTTGACGTTGTTCTTGGTGTCCAGGCCGTTGATGAACCCTGAGAGATTGTCCAGGAAGCGATCCGCTGCTGCCCCCTGCAGGACACAAAGGGAGGTGCAGTATTAGTATTGTAGTATTTTAGAGGAACTATATGTAGCTTGTGCTATTATTGTTTTTAAAATTTATTACAGGCACCGTTGAACCTGGGTTTTGCAAGTGCATTAATCTGCAGATAGAGACACACAAAAGTTTGTCTCAGTCTCAGTTTATGTTCAGGCCTCATGTGAAAACTGAACCTCCAGAATTCCCTCCCTGAACTGCAGAAGCTGCACTAGCACTGACTCATGACTGGTGCAGGTGCTGGGGTTTAGGTAGAGACCGTTCAAAGCAGAGAGCGAGACATTTTAGGTTTAAACACACTGGAAAGCACTGAAACTGGCAACACAAGAGCCTCATGTGAGGCTCATTCTGTTTTCTGATTGGGTAATTGTCTTGAGAATGAAAACACCAAATCATGTCCAATGTTTCTATAATTAATAAATGAGCATTACAACTGTTATCAGTAAAAGCTCTATTTGATTTGAACATGTTTGCCTCATATCTGGCAACACAGAAAGGGCATGTTTATGTAATTTAAAGCCTTTAAGTCGTCCTGTAGTCGTGTTTGTGGTGGTAAAAGTCGTACCTTCTCCAGTTCAAAGATCTTCCGGACTCTCTCGATGGCGTCGTCGATCTCATTGGCCGGAGGCAGGACCTGAGTGCTGCGAGCGCCCAATGAGAATCCACCGTACCTGCTCAGGTGAAAACACACACACAGGTGAGAGGAGGAGGAGGAGAGGAGGAGGAGGAAGGACAAGGGCAAGAGAGAGAGAGAAGAGAGGAAGAGAGAAGAAAGAGAATGTGGACGAAGAGGGAAAGAAGGTGAGAGAGAGAGAGAGAAAGGGAGGGAGGGAGAAAGAGAAAAAAAATTATACAGAAGAGACCGAGAGAAGGAAGAGAGAGAGAAGGAGTGAGACAGAAGGGAAAGACAGAGAGAAGCAAGAGAGAAAATGTGGAGAAAGAGGGAGAGGAGGAGCGAGAGAAGGAGAGACAATGACAAGGAAGAGAAAGAAGTGAGAGAGAGAGAAGAGAGAGACAGAGAGAATGTGGACAAAGAGGGAGAGGAGGAGAGAGAGAAGGAGAGAGAAAAGGAGGAGAGCGGGGATGAGAGAGCAAGTAAAGGAGGACGAGAAGAAGGAGAGAAAGAGGATAATGGGGAGAGTGGAGGAGGAGGACCAAGGAGTGAGAGAGAAGGAAGAGAAAAGAAGGAGGAAAAGGGGGAAGGAGGAGGAGGAAAGATGAAGATGATGCGAGACAAGGAGGATAAAAGAAAGAGGAGGAGAGGGGAGAATGAGGAAGAGGTGAAAGAAAGCAGGAGGATGAGACAGAGAGGAGGAAAACGAGGAGGAACGAACTGAAGAGGAGAAGAGAGGGAGGAGCGAGGGAGGGAGGGAGGAGGAAGACGAGGAGGAACGGTGTTGAGGGGACTGACCTGAACTCATTGACCCACACTTTGTTCTTGAGACTAGAACAGACACAGGAACAGTCCGTTTATGTCTATGTTCGTGTTTATTTTTACTCTAAAGATTTTGGTCTAAAACTCCAGCTCTCAGCAGCAGCAGCAGCAGCAGCAGCAGCAGCAGCAGCAGCAGCAGCAGCATCAGCAGCAGCAGCAGCATAGTTGACTGTAGCGGCAGCAGTAGTAGGAGAGGCAGTATTTGTAGTAGCAGGAGTAGCGGCAGCGGCAGCACTAACTATCTGCAATCGTATACTTACGATAATACTAGAAATAGTATGAGTAGTTGGTAACAGCAGGAGAAGCGTTAATGGTAAAAGCAGCAGTAGTAGCAGTAACATAAGCAGTAGAGGAGGCAGTAATGATAGTAATAGAAATAGCAGCATCAGCAACAGCAGCAGCAGCAGCAGCAATAGTAGTAACAGTAGTAGTAGTAGCAGTAGCAGCAGTAGTAGTAGTAGTAGCTGTTAGAGAAATTCTGTTTGTGTACTGAGGACTTTCATTGCAGCTCAGTACAGCACAAAGATGGGATTTCTCTAAGGCCTAGGCTCCACTGCACGAGTATTTCACCCTATGCAAGCCTAAAAACTGCAAATGTTGAACCTGTAATTTTTAGCATGTCCTGTATGTGTATCCATCCTATTTTTTGATGCTCCACACGAGCGTAGGCGCGTATCCCCATCAAAATACACAGAGAGCATCTGTTGTTGTATTTGTGCGTTTACCATTAGCACAACCTGCTCCTGGGGCAGTTCTAGTGGCCACACCGGCTTGTTAAAACCTGATCCCGTCAGATCTCAGAAGCTCAACAGGGCCGGGTCTGGTCAGGACTTGGATGGGAAACCACTGGGAAAATCAGGTGACAGGTGTCGTTGTGTCCTTAGGCAAAGCACTTCACCTAAATTACCTAGTATAAAAGTGTTGTGTGTGTGTGAGTGCCGGTGGTGGTCAGAGGGGCCGATGGCGCAGACTGGCAGCCTCGCTTCTGTCAGTCTGCCCCAGGGCTGCTGTGGCTACAGTAGTGGCTTACCACCATCGGGTCTGGACTGAATGAATAATGAACTGTAAAGCACTTTATGTATCTTGAAAGGGGCTGTATATAAATGCAATGATTAAGTTCTGTATTGTGTGAAAAAGCCCAGGTCCAGAAGTTACTTTGTGCTTTGAAATTAACTTTTGAAATCCTGGCGTTTTCTGTGGACAGCCTGTACACAAGGTAAATACAAGCCAGTTCAGCTGTTCGTTTCACTGTAGACAAGTGGCTAAACACGCCCAGTCAAGTTTAATCGGCTTTCCCTTTGAGAAACGCAGAGTCAGTGCTGCACACACACGTCCTCCTGGAGCTGCCGGAGGAAACGCCCTTACCTTGATGCGCAGATGTGGTTTGCGAGGTTATGCAAGTAAACACTGAGGCATGCAGTGGAGCCAGGGCCTAAAAGCAGCAGCAGCAGCAGCAGCAGCAGCAGCAGCAGCAGCACTAGTAGTAGTAGTAGTAGTAGTAGTACCTCTTGCCGATGATCTGGGCGTAGGTCTTGACCAGGTAGTCTGAGATGTTCCTGGAGGTGAGGTTCTGCAGAGTGTCCGTGGCGCTCAGCATCATCTGAACACAAACAGTTACATAAATTACTCACACGTGTAGCAGAAAGTACACCGAGGATTTTCCTGTGACATCGACCCGAGTGTCCAGACCTGAGGGGGGGGCAGGCCTCCAGCTCCAGGGGGACACTCCGGCAGCATCCTCATGTTTCCGTCGCAGCTGCAGTAACAGGCGGGAGAAGGATCGCTCATGGACCAGTTCCCGGAGGAGAAGAGCTCCAGCAGGTCCTCGGGCACGGGGAGGGTGGACCAGTCCTCGTCGCCCATGGTGCAGGGAGCATCTCTGCAAACACACACACAGAAAGACATCATTATATATTCAAGCCTAAATCACAATTTTGATTTTAATGATTTGACGTTTCAGCGTGGTATTGGTATTACTCACGGTATGGAGTAGCCTTTCATGCAGCGCGTTCCAAAGCCCGGGTCGTCCAGGAGAGCGCCGAGGAGCTTCTGCATGTTGGTATCTCCAGGAGCATCGTCGCTATGACAACAGCATAAAACATTTTAATCACACAGAGAGAGGAGCGGCTCTGATGAACACAAATAAACACTATGGTCAGCCTAAACCAGGACTAAACCAGGTCTAGTCAGCCTAAACCAGGACTAAACCAGGATTAAACCAGGTCTAGTCAGCCTAAACCAGGACTAAACCCGGTATAAGCAGCCTAAACCAGGACTAAACCAGGATTAAACCAGGACTAAACCAAGTCTAAGCAGCGTAAACAAGGACTAAACCAGGACTAAACCAGGTCTAAGCAGCCTAAACCAGAACTAAACCAGGACTAAACCAAGTCTAAGCAGCCAAAACCAGGACTAAACCAAGTCTAAGCAGCCTAAACCAGGACTAAACCAAGTCTAAGCAGCCTAAACCAGGACTAAACCAAGTCTAAGCAGCCACTAAACCAGGACTAAACCAAGTCTAAGCAGCCTAAAACCAGGACTAAACCAGGACTAAACCAAGTCTAAGCAGCCTAAAACCAGGACTAAACCAGGACTAAACCAAATCTAAGCAGCCTAAACCAGGACTAAACCAAATCTAAGCAGCCTAAACCAGGACTAAACAGCCTAAACCAGAACTAAACCAGGTCTAGTCAGCCTAAACCAGGACTAAACCCGGTATAAGCAGCCTAAACCAGGACTAAACCAAGTCTAAGCAGCCTAAACCAGGACTAAATCCATTCCTCCCCTGTTGTGACCCCAGACACAGTGACCCCGGTGTGACCCTCATGTGACCCCGGTGTGACCCAGTGCAGTACCTGATGAAGGTGACCTGGTCCTGGTACATCCAGGGCTGCAGCTCCAGACTGGGATACTTTCCGAAGGGCGGGACGATGAGGCTGAAGATCAGAGCGATGCACACGAACACGGCCGGCAGCACGATCTGCACACAACACCATCGCCACAACAAGGGCCACAAACACAGGTCAGAGGTCACAGGCATCAAAGTATAATAAGATCTGCAAGATGAGCTCAAGACGGCCTTTTGGTGTTTTCAAAAAAATCTTTTTTCTTCCTAATTACTTCCATGAAGACTGGCCTAACTCCGCCCACTGTGTGACATCAGAAACGTGCAGTTCTAACCAACTAAATAAAGAAAATGTACTCACAATTAAAGTGACCAGACATCCCAAAAAATTCAGGACAGTCTAGAAATCTAAGCTGCTGTCCTGAATCGGGCCCTAAATGTCCCGAAAATTACACTCAAACAGAATCCTGAGAAGTTATTTTGTGATAAATATTAAACTGCACAGACCCTGACGGCTTCCAAGTGTCTGCGTCCAGCCCCGGCTACAATGGATCTATTTGGTTTATTTTTTGACGTTCTACACTTAGGCGCAACACATTTTCATTTATCTAACGCGGCTGCTGTACCAGAAACTCAACACGCCGTTAAAAAGCAAAAACATCAACACAGGCACCAGGAGGAGAGGGTGAGGAAGTACACGTGGATTACCAAAACCCGAAGCGATGAAATGAGTTCATGATTTTTATGTTGTTTTCTTGTAGCAGAAAGATTAATTTGATCTTTGACTAAAAATATGTTTGTGACAAGTTTGAAAATTCATCTTTTATTAATTTAAATAAATAAATAAAAATGACCATTACAAATCTCAGCAAATCTTAAACATTTCTTAAAGATTTTTTGTCACTAAAATAAATAAATAAATAAATAAATAAATACTAACCCCCCAAAAATGTTGTTCGAGCTTTCTTTTATTGAACAAGATGTGGATGTAGTAATTATCTTAACAGGCCTACAAAGTTACACAAAAACTTTTCTGGTGAAGGTTTTGCCACCTCCTCGTCTCCATGGTGATGTTATTGGATGTTATTGCTTTGCCTGGAATGTTCCACAGTATGAAACGCAAAATAAGCATATGTATCACTACGTAATCAAACAGTCTGTCCAAGATACAGGTCCAATCTGTGGAGAGGCGAGCCTGCTAAAATAACAGCGTGTTTTGAGTGATGTCTGTGTCTTGTACCTGAGCGAAGAATCCTTTGCGTGAGCGCCGCGCGTACAGGAAACGCTTCCACATCAGCGCCACGAACTGCTGCCTCCTCAGAGCCCAGCCGGTCACCGAGTACGAGCCTTTCCCGTCCGTGCAGTTCAGCCAATCAGAGTCCTCCGCTGGAAAACACAGGAACAACGTGAGCCAATCAGAGAGACAGAAGTTCAGCACTGCTCAGGTCGGGTGGACAGAGCCTCCTCACTACCCCCCCTAGTGGCCTCCTGTTGCAACAGCGGAGAAGAGTGAATAGGGTCCTCAAAGTCACTTTTTTGCTGAACTGGCCCAAATGATCATAAGCAGAACTTTTAACTACTAATTTAAGTAATTCTGACATCACAACTTCAAAAACAAACATTGCACTGTGACACAAGCAGAAGACTAATGTTCCAAACCTTTTTAAATGCATCTCTCTGTAACTTAATGTGTAATTGTCCGCTGATCATGTGTCTCCGCTCTTTGTAGGCATTTAATGTTTCATGCATGTGGTCCTACGTCCAGTCAAATGAAGCTCACAAAGCTACAGGTTACGGACGACCATAATAGGACCAGGAATTTATTTATGGACAAAATAGCAAAATAAAAACACCAGGATCATGTAGAGTTGGTTAATACAAACATTTTAAGCATAAGTTGCTTGTAAAAACAGGTGTAGTTATTGTGATATGAGGAGTGTAACAGTACACAAAAATCACAGTTCTGTACGTACCTCGGTTTTGAGGTCACAGTTCGGTTCATTTTTGGTACAGTTTGGGAACAAAATGTAAAACAATTTGCATGTTGTTTATTTGTGTGTATATTAAACTAACATTACACAAATGGGAAAATAAAATAAATGCAAAGTGCTGCTTGATAATACTAATAAGTTATATAAATAATAAATAAAATATTCTCAAATAAGCAACAAATGTCTGAAATATTATTTTTTAAATTGTTGTAAGCAGTAAACAAAGCTTTTCAAAAAGTAAAGTGGGCGGCAGTAGTTCAGTTGGTGGAGCATTCGCCCACTGATCTGAAGGTTGGTGGTTTGATTCCAGCTCTCGACATAAACATCACAGGTTGAGCGGTCAGATCCACTGACCCACAGGTTGGCTGGTGTGATTCCAGCTCCCACAGATGAATGCTGTCGTTGTGTCCTTGGGCAAGACACTTAACCCACCTTGCCCACAGTGTCTGCGTACACTGATGTGTGAATGTGTGTGTGTGTGAATGGGTGAGTGGTTCCTTGTTGTAAAGTGTTTTGAGTGCCTTGAAGGTGGAAAAGCGCTATAGAAAAACGTGACCATTTACCATAAAGTGCTGCACTAACAGTTCCAGAAACAAATTTTATTTTTGGCCAGAAACTAGGACTAGAACCAGGACTAGAACCCAGGGCCAAACTAGAACCAAAGCAGGACTAAACCAGGACGAAACCAAGATTAAACCAGGACTAACCCAGAATTAAAACAGGATTAAACCAGAACAGGACTAACTTAAAAGTAAACCCAGATAGAGCCAAGACTAAACCAGGACTAAACAAGGACCAAACCAGGATTAAATCAAGACTCACCAAGACAAAGCCAGAGACGAAATCACAATTAAACCACAACCAAACCAGGACTAAACCAGGACTAAACCACCATGATTAATCCACAAACTAGGACTAATTCAGGACTAAACCAGAACTGAAAGGACTGAACCAGACCCAACTAGGACTAGAACCAGGACTAGAACCAAACAGACTAAACCAGGACAGGATAAACCAGGAGACCTTAGAACCAACAAGACTAAACCAATAACCCAGTCAAACCAGGACCAAAACAGGACTAAACCAGGACGAAACCAAGATTAAACCAGGACTAACCCAGAATTAAAACAGGATTAAACCAGAACAGGACTAACTTAAAAGTAAACCCAGATAGAGCCAAGACTAAACCAGGACTAAACAAGGACCAAACCAGGATTAAATCAAGACTCAACCAAGACAAAGCCAGAGACGAAATCACAATTAAACCACAACCAAACCAGGACTAAACCAGGACTAAACCACCATGATTAATCCAGGGTCAAACTAGGACTAATTCAGGACTAAACCAGAACTGAAGCAGGACTGAACCCGGACTGAACCCAGGACTGAAACTAGGACTAGAACCAGGACTAGAACCCAGGGCCAAACTAGAACCAAAGCAGGACTAAACCAGGATTGACCCAGGATTAGAACCAGGACTGAACCCAGGATTAGAACCAGGACTAGACCCAGGACTAAACCACCATGATTAACCCAGGGTCAAACAAGGACCAAAGCAGGACTAAACCAGGACGAAACCAAGACTAAACCAGGACTAACCCAGAATTAAAACAGGATTAAACCAGCACTGAACCAGGACTAACCCTAGTTTCAGTGTGCACCTGGGGCAGTTGTCGCAGGTACGACAGTGCAATGACAGTTTCCTCGTGAATATAAAGAGCCGACTTTGTGTAGCTGCACTGTAAACACACACTGCATGGCAGTTGCATCGAACTGAACGTCCCGTACCGAAACAGTTCAGCACAAATACACGAACCGTTACACCTCTATGTGATGCGGTTGCCAGATTGGTGGTAGATGAAGCGTAAGAGGAGGGTCTGACCTGGGTCTCCCTCGGACTCGTTGCCCTGCAGGTCGTCCTCGGTCAGGGGCTTGAGGCAGCTCTGATGGTCTCCTCCTCCAAAAGCGTGAGTCCTCCTCCTCCTCCGCACGGGAAGAGTCCCATCTGAACTCACACAAGCACAGGATCAGGGAGTTTTAACGGGACGACATTACGCAAAACCGACTCTTGTGAGATTTAAAACCGTGTTATAATGTTGTTTCTTCATCAAAAACAGACCTGGAGTTGTGTTTTGTTTCTGAATTTCAATAGTGCGGAACTGACCTGAAGGAACCTCCGTGTCCACTCCATTGTCCTCGGCCACTTTCAGGAAAATCTGGAAAAACAGAAAAAGTATTGTGAGGGAACGTCTATTTTAAACCAAATTCACAAAGACGACTACAATAACCAGGCAAAAATTGGAGAAGTAATTTTAAAAAGTAAATTTAAACTGGGACTAATGCAAAACTAAACCCAGATAGAGCCAGGACTAAACCAGGACTAAACAAGGACCAAACCAGGATTAAATCAAGACTCAACCAAGACAAAGCCAGAGACGAAATCACAATTAAACCACAACCAAACCAGGACTAAACCAGGACTAAACCACCATGAATAACCCAGGGTCAAACTAGGACTAATTCAGGACTAAACCAGAACTGAAGCAGGACTGAACCCGGACTGAACCCAGGACTGAAACTAGGGCTAGAACCAGAACTAGAACCAGAACTAGAACCGGGACTAGAAACCAGGACCAAACTAGAACCAAAGCAGGACTAAACCAGGACTGAACCCAGGATTAGAACCAGGACTAAACCAGAATTAAAACAGGATTAAACCAGGACTGAACCAGCACTGAACCAGGACTAACCCAGAACTAAAATAGGACTAAATCACCATGATTAACCCAGGGCCAAACTAGGACCAGAACCAGGGCTAGAACCAGGACTAAACCAGGACTAAAACCAGGGCTAGAACCAGGACTAAACCAAGACTTAACCAGGACTAACCCAGAACTAAAACAGGACTAAAACACAATGATTAACTCAGGGTCAAACTAGGACTAAACCAGGATGGAACTGGCACTGAACCAGGACTAAACCAGGACTAAATCCAGACTAAACCCAGACTTGTCCCGGACAAAACAAGGACTAAAACCTGGATCAGAAAAAAAGACTAGAAGTAGGACTAAAGCAGGACTAAAAGGACTAAACCAGGACTAAAGCAGGACTAAAGCAAATAAACCAAGATTAAACCAGGACTAAACCAGGACAGCAGGACTAAAGCAGGACTAAACCAGGACTAAAAGACTAAAAGGACAAGATTAAACAAGCAGGACTAGGACTAAAGCAGGACTAAAGCAGGACTAAAGCAGGACTAAAGCAGGACAAGACTTAAACCAGGACTAAAGCAGGACTAAACCAGGACTAAACTAAAGCAGGACTAAAGCAGGACTAAAGCAGGACTAAAGCAGGACTAAAGCAGGACTAGAAGCAGGACTAAAGCAGGACTAAAACAGGACTAAAGCAGGACTAAAGCAGGACTAAAACAGGACTAAAGCAGGACTAGAAGCAGAACTAGAAGCAGGATTAAACCAGGACTAAAAGGACTAGGAAAGCAGGACTAAACTAAAGCAGGACTAAAGGACTAAAGCAGGACTAAAGCAGGACTAAAGCAGGACTAAAGCAGGACTAAACCAGGACTAGAAGCAGGACTAAACCAGGACTAAAGCAGGACTAAAGCAGGACTAAAGCAGGACTAAAGCAGGACTAAACCAGGACTAAAGCAGGACTAAACCAGGAAACCAGGATTAAACCAGGATTAAACCAGGACTAAACCAGGACTAAACCAGGACTAAACCAGGACTAAACCAGGACTCGTGCCCACCTCCTCCAGGCTGGTGTCAGACACGCCGTAGCTGGAGATGCCCAGGTGGTGCAGGTTCTGGTCCAGGGCCCTGAACAGGTCCACGAAGGCCCCGTCCTTGGCGGCGGAGTACGGCAGGACGTAGGTGAGCTCGTGGCCCAGGTCCTCCACCAGACGAGCCCCCGGGATGTGACCCAGGACCAGAGCTGAAACCTGGGCTATGTTCGCCGGGACCAGGGGGTGATCTGGAGGAGCGTCTGTGGAGGCTCTGCCCACACTACTGCTCGGAGGGTCTGAGAGAGAGAAGGAGGGAGGAGGAGAAGAGAGGAGGAGAAGAGAGGGAGAGAAGGAGAGAGGAGGAAAAAAGGAGCAGGAGGCGGAAGGGGGAAGGAGAGAGGAGAAAAAGGGAGAAAGAGAAAGAGAGAGGGGAAGGGGAGGGAGAGTAGGAAAAAAGGAGGAGGAGGAGAGAGGGCGGGAGGGAGAGAGAGAGGAGGAAAAGAGGAGGAGGAGGAGAGAGCAAGGAGGAGAAGGAGGAAGAGAGGGAGGGAGAGAGAGAGAAAGAGGGAGAGAGGAGGAAAAAGAGGAGGAGAGAGGGAGAGAGAGAGGAGGAGGAGGAGAGAGGGAGGGGAGGGGAGAAGGAGAGAAGAGGAAAAAAGGAGGAGGAGGACAAGAGGAAAGGGAGGAGAGAGAGGAGGAGGGAGGAGGAGAAGGAGAGAGGAGAATAGAGGGAGAGAAGGAGAGAGGGAGGGAGAGTAGAAAGGAGAGAGGGTGAGGAAGAGGAGGAGGAGAGAGGGCGGGAGGGAGAGAGAGAGGAGGAAAAGAGGGGGAGGAGAGAGGGAGGAGAGAGAGCAAGGAGGAGGAGGAGGAAGAGAGGGAGGGAGAGAGAGAGAAAGAGGGAGAGAGGAGGAAAAAGAGGAGGAGAGAGGGAGGGGAGGGGAGAAGGAGAGAGGAGGAAAAAAGGAGGAGGAGGACAAGGGGAAAGGGAGGAGAGAGAGAGAGGAGGAGGGAGGGAGGAGAAGAGAGGAGGAGAATAGAGGGAGAGAAGGAGAGAGGGAGGGAGAGTAGAAAGGAGAGAGGGTGAGGAGGAGGAGGAGAGAGAGGGAGGGAGGGAGGGAGAGAAGACGAGGGGGAGGGAGAGGCGAAAGGAGAAGGAAAGTAAAAAAGAGAGAGGGAGGAAAAGTGAAAGAGAGGGACAGAGAGAGAGAGAGGGAGAGCGGGAAAAGGAGCAGAAAAGAGACAGAGAGGGGGAGAAGAAGAGAGAGAGGGAGGAAAAGAGAGGAAAGGTGAGAGAGGAAGAAAGGGAGAGAAAGAGAGGGTGAGAGGGGGAGAGAGAGCAGAAGAGAGGGAGAGGGAGAGAGAAAGGGGGGGACAGGGGAGAGAGAAAGGGAGAGAAAGAAGGAGAGAGGGGGGAGAGAGGGAGACAGCGAATAAGGAAGAGTGAGGGAGGGAGAGAGAGAGACAGAAAGAAAGAAACAAAGAAAGGAAGAGGGAGCAAAAGACAGAGAGTAAGAGCAAAAGAGAGAGAAGAGTAAAAAAGAAGGAGAATA